AAACTTTTGATGATAGCTACAAACCTCTTTCACCTTTTAGTAGATTCTTATCAATAATCTATGAAACTTTTTTTGTATTTGCAAATTACATATTGTTTTGCAGACGTTCATTGAACTCTCAGCACAAACCATGTTAAATCCGTGTTTTAAAATAAGTCACCAACAGATTTTCATGAAGGAAACTATCTGAAAAACAACAAAAAAGTTGTAATTCAAGCGAACCATACCCACGGTATAATCTTTAAGTTTATGCTTGAAAGTACTCTTCTTTGCTTAGTCAAGAAAGCAAATATACATTCTGAATGTGAATTATCACCGTTTTACAGTTAGATACTTCCTTTAAGTAATCTTTTATCAGATCCAAAATACCAAATAAATGCAACGTAGACTACTGCTCTAATATGTACAACTGCTGTTTTGAATGGAAACGTACAACCCAAAAAATGCAATGGCTCGGCACTGACAACTACATACCAGTTAACTAATACCCATTTTCCTACCTTTCTAAAATCTCTCGTATACAATGAAACCGCTATCAAAAATAATAAACTATCAAAAAACTATCAGGTTCCATCGCCCAAAACAGAACTTCTTTACTCTCGACTTCGAATTGCGCGATCAGAAAGATGTGCATTCTTATTCAAAACAAACGCACTGTCAAACAAGAATTCATTTGATCTTGCTTCAATTCATATCTGCATCATTAAACGAATATGCTGGTCAGCCAACTCTGTCACATTGTTGGGTCACGTCATATGTCGTTACCGCAATAAATTAAACATTCAAAAAATCATCCCCAACTAAACGTCCCTTCAGTCTATCTCACGCAACCAAGTCCCAATATCCAATTTCGTCGTCGACCCTCAAAAAACAATGACTGTACCACCAATAAACCATAATGGTATCAACACCCGCGTACCACGAACTAACACTAAATCCAAAAATCAACTCCTATTTACAGTCTAAGTTTTACATAAAGCAGAATATACCAGTACCAACTTAGGCTTCGCTTTCCCCTCTCCTTATGACCACTTCCTCGCACTACTGTCCTAAAAAAACCCATCTGAACATCCTCCAACAGTTAGAACCGATAAATGTCTGCTACATTCCCAAAAAGCTGCTCGATTCTCACTGGCAGGACCTATACCAACCAAAAAATTTTTCTTTACTCCTTATCTCCTATGACCCCATTGTCTTTCCTTTACTGTCCCGTTCTTCCTCAATGCGTATACATTTATACGAATCCAATAACCAGCACAATATAAATAGTGCTGCAATAAAAATTAACGATACTGTAGAAAGAGTTTTGAAACAACAAGTCTTCAACAAAAACATTTTTGAATTTTTTCTTGAGATACGAACTGCAAATACATCAAAAATGTCTTCGTACGTAAGCTCCTTCAGAATAACTTCTGAAGAGCTCGATTCACAGGAAAATGTAAAACAAAAACAACACAAGCACACTTGGTATTTATTATAAACAAAGGACCTACTTCCACTGAAAACAACTAGTAGTACAAAAATGAACAACCCAATACGTAATTTGTAAACTGAAAATGCATTTCTATAAACTAATAATAGAAATTGAAAATTGAAAAGAACAACACCAAATTCTTATTACCAAGGTCCATTTTCTAAATTGCACTCCAAATAAATTTGGCTTAACTCACTTCTTGTGGCAAAACCTCCACAACTACTCAGAAGGAGACTTAAAGTAGCACTGAGACAACAGTTGAAAAATACCAAGCTTCTCTGGGAACAAGGGCAACCATGAAAAATCCATTTCTTCATACGAAGCAGTAAAAATAAAAAGTGAGGAAAGATGGTTATCGCGAAACAAGATTGAGATCGACCTCAGTCACTGGGCAAATCCTCCTACTTGTTCTTGATAAACCTGAAAAATAGACGCAATACGTATACTACATTCTGGAGAAATAAAAAAATCACTTCACAATACATAAAAACGTTTAAACAGAAGACAAGTTACCTCAATGACATCATCCTCTTCCATTTCTAAACTTTTAGGGGTATCTTCATTATTTATACGACGACCATCAAAAAGAAAACGAAGTGTATTGACTGCTACTCCAGTTCGATCAGCATAGCTCTTCATTAATTTCCCCATTGAAGTCCCATATTTCACTCGAAAATGCACTTCGTTAGAATCCTAAAAATTAAAAACCAAACCTAACGATGAAACAATAATCCAAAGCAACCTAGTACACAAAATAACTCGCCTGGCCCACAACTTTTAGTTTAATATATTCCGTGTTGGTACCCGGTGCTGGGGCAGAAGTGTCTCCTTGTTCATTAGGCGCTGTACCTTCAGACATTTTTTAATCCTAAAGCACATGATAGCTTAAAGCTATGAAAGACCCTACCGCAAAAAAGTACGTCATATTTGCTTAAAACGCACGAACACTTCGAAAACACTTCTCAAATCTGGCAACACAAAAATAATATAGATCGCCAAAGTAATATCTGTTCAAAAATAATTTTTAGAAAAATCCCAGATCAAATTACTAAAGAAGTAACAATCGCAATACTCGCTTAAATAACCCCCTGAAAAAAAAAGACCATGTTCAAAGCGCGTTTTTTCTCGTCGATTAAACGCAACTTTAAGAAATTCCCCTTAGCCCCACAGCGAATGTAAATACTTACAGGTCAAACAAAAACCTCAACATTAACAGCACATGCAAATCTAGTCATATAATTCCAACTTTAAAAATAGTCCTGCAAAGAAATGGTCAGCTAACTAATGGCATAGCGTAAGAAAAGTTGAAGAGGAACGAAATAAAATAAATGGCGCACCCAGGCGTGGTGTGCAATCCTTCGTTCATATACCCTGGTTGTCCTAATTTCCTATCGTTGAAAATAACTCGTTCCTTAAAAACTTTGTCATATCAAGATTCCAGTCATATCCTAGACAGCCGGCAAAAGCCTAACTACATTCGAATAAAGACTACGAAGTCAAACTCGACTATTAAATAACGGCGAATTTCCATTCAAAGACCACTAAAATTTTTAGCCATACTATAAAACCTCGTCTACTACACTATACCTGACAACCAAAAACTCTACTGCGTTCAAGCAGTCCAGTATAACCCTCTTCAGCAGGAAAATATGAAGCCAGAACAAAAGAAAACCCATAAAACCATGGAAGTCCAAGCCGCACAAATCAGTTTCAAATTTTTGTCAGATTCTTCTTCTGTTCCAAAATAAGAAGGCATACCATCGGCCCCTAAATGTAGGTGAAAAGCTCGTTCCAAAATAAGAAGGCATACCATCGGCCCCTAAGTGTAGGTGAAAAGCTCGTTCCATGCTCTTCGCAAGAAGAAAAATAAAAAGCTCGACCTCAACTTGAAGATCTGATTAGGTCTTCCAAGAACGAAAGCACGACCTCGATGTTCGGTTAGCCTGAGCTTATCATATGATGATTATCACATAGTCCATTATCAATGCCTTCCATCATAAAATCCATACTACAGAACACCTATATTGTCCTCTCTTTTCCTAACCAACAAGGGCGATTACAAAAGAGTTGATCCCCAAAAAACAACTCTGACAGTCAGTTAGAAAACCAAAAGCAATTTATGAAAAAACACGGTGGGCCAATCATGTATTATGAAAATGCTACGCACACAAGAGCGCACTATATATTTTTGCTGAGAAAATTACTACAAAAAGAGACAAATAGGTTGAAAATAAATCGAAACAAGAAACCCTGAAATAAGACCAAACTCAGAATCAGCCAGCATTGAGTTCCAAAGATATTACAACTGATTAATTCCAAAAAACCCTCCCAAAACATAATGTCACCCGCAGTCGTGAGACGAATTAAACAATCGGATACTGCAGTATAACCATGATGACTATCCATGGTATAAACCCACCGAGACAATGTGCTAAACGAAAAACCTCTTTTCGCTCCATTCTGACGACGTTCAGGACCTTGTAGCTTTTAGCAGCCAAATATTATTCGGGCTCAAACTATTCGTAGTACGCTCGCTGCTTATGTGGAAACAAATATTGTTCGAACACGATAAAAATGAATAGATGAGTAAGTGAATAAATAAATAAAGAAATAGATAAATGAGTAAATAAGCAAATGAGCTGATAAATAATTAAGTATATATTTTTGTTTGTTTTTTGGTGTCAATATTAAAATTAATATGAATATTAAAATTAATTCCCTTAATTTATATCTGCCTATCTACATATTTATACACATAAATTTACATTTATATATTTTATACGTTCATCCACATTATATATTTAAAA